AGAGTCTGTTCTAGTTCTGACTTTCCCTTGGATACTAGCTGTCCTTTCCTTGTGAAAGAAGAGTTGCCTGGATAGTTGGTAAATCTTTTAAATTCATATATAAATATATCTGGTAATTCAATTATAGTTTTATGTATATTCCACAACATGCTGCCATACATATTATTTTGATTGTATATAAGCTATTTAGCAAACAATTTTAATGTAACAAGTTCACTCACAACGTTATAGTTACCACACAGGAAGACTGATCACACTCACTCTAATGAAAATGCTCAGCCATGCCCCTGGACTTCATTTGATAGTTCACAAGAACATGTAAAAATCTATAAACTTTTCACTTTGATTCATTCTGTAAAAATGAACTTTACCTGGGGAGTCATTTAGACTGAAGGCGATGCGGACTGGCTTATCAGCAGGTACCCTTGCTGTGGTGATCATGTGGGCACTTGAGCCTAAGTTTTTACCTGTGTGTTCCAGCTGCAATAATAGAAATGACAGTCATTACAAGTCACATGAATCCATTACACCTTTTACTGAATGATTACCATGCATTTATAGCAGTATTTTTTTAAATTCTAACCCAGCACATTTAAGATAAATGGGTAGAGCTACACTGGATTTCCCCTCCCCCCTCTTTAAAATAGTTAAACGTAAAATTTAGAACCTCAGCTCTCTGATTTATCAATAGATCAGGTTCAGTCATTTCTGTACAACTCCCTTCAACCCTCCCAGCCAAATGTCCTTTTGGCATGTCTCTGCCTTGGCCTGGAGGGCCACATCCACAAAGGTCAGAAGGCAGTTTTATTCTCCAAACCTTGGTGGCGATTGGTCAGTGGGACTCCGTGCGAATGGAAGAGTCTGCCCACATGGGTTTGATTGCAGGATCGGGGCTTTACTCTGTCCTTGGCTTTTCTTCTGAGACTGCCAACTCCAAATGGTGGTTTTAATGAGGTAGATCCCTGTCCATTAAGAAATGGATCAAAACCACCAATTCATTTCACATCAGGCACCAAATAGCCAACAAATATTTATAACTTTCAGTCAGTACCAACCCAGACTGGATCAGCTTAAATTGCTTCCACATGTCCAGGCTAACTTTTACTTATTGCTTTACTATGAATAGCTTGACTTTCAGATGTTTGGGGCAAAAATCTGTGAAAGATCTGAAGTCTACTGTTCGCTACTGATCTAAACTATGGTTTTACTTACAGAAAACGGCATAACTTAGATTGATTCTGCCTCAGGCTTTTTGAATGTCTGTACCTAGCCTAAGGGCCTAGATGTATGACACCTTTCCACTAGTATAATCTTCCCTCACCTCTGCATAGATAAGGAATATATTCATTGATGTAACCTCCTAGAAACTGGTGTGGAGTCACCTTGGGGAAAATGCAAGGATAGCTTTACACAGGTGTAAGTTATCTCAGTGTAATTGTCATGTATCTGCTTCCATGATAGGCATTTACTTAATAAAAGCAGGTTAAAACCTCTACCACATTGTAAGGCACTGAAATGGTGCCTACTACAGCCAGCCACCTTGAGCGAGCTGCTTGTTTGTTCACTCTGTACACCAGTAAAACTTATACAGGTGAACCAAACCAATGTAAGTTATGTTGGTGGTAAGCTTTCAGGTGTCCAGGCCCTATGAGTGCTAAGAAAACTTCAGATATTATCCAGCAGTGAATAGTATTTATTTCACCTTAGTGGATACTATGTTACTGACATTAAATATATAATATATCATTGTAAAACCTCATAAGTCAATTAGAAATCAAATTATTCTGGAAAGTATGGTACATTTACTAAACTATATACTATATATCTATTGACAGTGTGTCATAATTGGTGGCGAGGGAAAAACCAATTCTCTAAGCCAACCAGCTTTCAGTTTTTCAGTAACATTTTAGAAAGAAATATTTATTCTATTATATTAAAATCCCAACTCTCCATTTGATGTCAAGTTTAATTATTGAGCATCTCATAAAATCAGTAGAACAGAACATCATTGTGTGCCAAATTCTTCCCTAGCATGATACCTTTGCAATAAGATTTGCTTTGTCTAGTTCAAATTTAGTTAGCAGAGCAATTCAGTTACCCTGTGGCAACACTACACAGTAATGCACTGATCAAATAATACATATTTTACAGTGCTTAGATTTTCTTTAAAATAAAAAAATCTAAAAACTTTACTTTGAATAAATATTATTTGCAGCTGGGAGCCACTTTTCCTCCTGATGCCCAAGGGAGTCTCATGCATCCCCCCACTGCCTGCTTTTATTCCTGATGATCAGGTCCGTACACAAAAGTTCAACCAGTACTGGATTGAGAAGACAAACCAAAACTGTTCACTAGATTAACACAAAATGTATGTTGGGCTTGATCCAAAGACCACTTAAGTCACAAGAATATTTTAGTTTAAAGTCCATTGCTACATACTGAAGAACATTTTATTTTTAAACTGCCAGGAGGTTGTTACGTTGGAGTAAGATCTGTTTCTCTCGGTCTCTTTTTGTGAAAAGTGTTTGAGACCTTGCATGTTTTGTTTTGCTTTTTTGCTGAAATAAAACCAAAAATTGCAAAGGCAGAATTATTTCTCATAACACGCTCCTGTGAAACTAACCTCAAGCAAAAGAGAGAGATTTTACACACTAAGCACAAAGCTGTTCATCACTGTATTTTGTTAGACACGCTGCGCATCTGTTTACAATCATTAAAAAGGTCTTCACGTGCTAAGATGCTTTATGCTTAATACCACAGAGCAGCAACAAAAACATTCATAGAAGTTAATATCATTAACAACAAATACTTTAGGTGCACTTTGGTGGAAGTCTTGAGTTTGCCAGACTAGTATGTGTGTAGCAAACTTGTGGTTTTATCTCACTCGCACGCTGTGGTCGACATTGTTTTCTGATTACCATTATTTTAGCCACCCGCTATCAGAGGACAAAAATAAGAACTTCCTCCAGTAATGAATGGTGATTTTTTAACATCACACAAAGGAGTAGAGGGTTTTTTTCCCCAGTTTATTCTAAATTAATCCCCTGCCTACATACACACTGTACTAACCAGTGATCTCACGTCCTAATGTATGCAGTAAAGCTATTGTCAGTTTTATCCAAAATCCCGAAAGCTGTTCATCATCAAAAGACAGATAAACGAAGAAACCAAGAAGGAATGGGAATCGTCCTTCCCATGCTCTGTGTGCAAAGAGAATGATGTATGCCCCATCAGCTGAGGAAAATGCAACAGACAGACTGCCCACAAAATTCCCGCTAGGTTTCCCAATACAAAAAACTTAATATCTCTGCAGATAGAGAAGTATGTGTGTGAGCAACATTTGGCTTAATGAGGTGTCTAAAAGAATCCCAGCACGCTGTCCCATATTCATGACAACTGCCTGTGGAACTGGCTGTTGTTTCTTCATAAAAAATCTGTAGCCCAGCTCAGATTATGTGCTGCCACAGCTCTATCAATTTAGTTCAGTTTTCACACCTGTTGCCTTACCTCACTTAGTGGAGTGTCTGCACTTGTATAATCCAGGGCCAGCCACTGCCTTGGCTTGTCGTTGCCTTTATGGAGTAAAGATTCAATAAAAGAAAAGGCTGCACCTGCTGCATAGCAACAAACTGACAAGGTCTGAGAAGCTGAGACAGCTGTTAGGGCAACATGCTGCTACCTGCACTTCCCATAGGCTTTGCTGCCCCAAAAGACCACCCTTTTCCGCTTGTCTTCACAATTCCACTCTCCCTTCCTTTCCTTTCCAACAATGGGGGATTATGATGTTGTCATGCTTCAGGAAAGAAAAAAATCCTTCTGTCAGAGACATTATTAAGCAGCAAACTGTGGAGAGTCCAAGATTTTTAATTCATTAGTCCTGGCAAACTTAAAATACAAACAGACTTGCTTCATAGGACAGGAATGTTTTCAGCATGACCCAATCAGTGTCTGTGTCTATTCCAGCAAACTGGCAAAGACAGCATGACTCCAGTCAGCAAAAATGTCTGTGGCTCCAATCAGCTTGGGGTGACATTGCCAACTTGGACTAGCTACAAGCAAACTATCAAATGATAGCAGCAACTATCAAAGCTAACAACAAGGATGAGGTTGGTGTTTTAGGTTAGGATTGTAAAAGCTCTGGGAACGAGCGCCTGTCTAACATGATAGGTCTATGATACTAAAGAGACAATGGACTAACTTTAGTAGCGTGTATGAAGCTTTTGTCGCTGCCTGTTCACATAAATGCATTCTGAAGGCAGATGCATTTACATGTCTTTTGGGACAGGAACAGACACTGTAATTCACTGAAAACAAACAGCTTGTAGATTCTGCTGAATTCAAAGAAGTTAGCAGTGAGATTTCCCACTGTGCTAGTCAGTTTTCAAAGTACAAGTAAGGTTATGAATAACTGATTCTGAAAATGCTGGGGGGAAGGGAGGACAGGGGAAAAAATGTTGTCTAGACTGAAACAGTTACTGCAAGGAAAGGTTAAACACCCAACTGGCTGCATATCTTCCCCTGGACAACTGAGACTGTTGGACAGTGCAGTGGATAATATAAGATGCTTGGTAGACAGACAATATAGGTTCTGCCAGTGTTGTTATATTGGCTTGAAAAAATAAATAGTTAACTGTCCTGTTTCCAATATATATTTTAAAAATAATAAACTGAATTAAACAGATTATCTGTCCCCAAATCCCATGTTCTGGAATGTCTCCACAGATGCACATGCAGGCAGACATCCTGTGGTTCATTTAAGGTGCACTTGGTGCAAAACAAGGGGCTTTAAGTCAAGTTTATTTCTCCCCCATGTGTGTATTGGCCAAAGGAATGACCCCACCCAAGTATATATCAGACAACCAAGTAGCTGCTCTAATGTATACCCAGATACCTGTGGCCCTGAGAGGCCATTCCATACTTAGGGGTAGGCGGAGCACAAGGACACACTGCTTACTCCTTTTTTCCTCAAGGAATGGCTTTATGCTGAGGAGTAGGAGGGACTAGGGCAGAGCTATTATAGCAGGGTTAGGCATAATGTAGCAGAGTTGAGTAAGCCTATTTTCTAACTCTGTTAAACAGTCAGAACAGAAACCATGAACTGATCCCAGAAAAAGAGAAAACTGGAAAAATGTGCCCTGGGTAATTACAAGGCTTTATGCTTGTCCACAGTATTATAAAAAGTATGAAACACGTATTGGGGAAGCATAATCAAGGATAAGGAGCTAAACAGAAGTGGAACAAGATGCAATATGTTTTTTTCCAAGGAAAAACCATATCAGACCAGTGTTGTATCCTTTCATAGCAGACTAATGGACTGCATAGGCACAAAGCTATGCAGTGGGCCCAATCAATGTAGATTTAGGTAAAGCAGGGCTGTCAAACTCACTTTGGGTTCCAGACCTGATCTGAACTGTGGGGACTCCTCGCAAGCTGAATCGGGCCCATGGCTTGAAGCTGCAGCAGCTACAGCAATTTGAGACAGCAGCAATGGTGGCACTAGTGGCTATGGCTGGCATCACGGCTACCATGGTGGCTACAGCAGTGGTAGCCCCCACAACAGTGGCTACCAGGGTAGGGGTGACATCCTAGCAGCAATACAGCCAGGAAGCCACTTGCTGTGGTTGGGGCATGCAAGCAGCTGTGGGCCAGATGGCAGCAGGATGACTGAGGGCTGTCACATAGCTTTCTCTCACCCTCTAGGGCTCCAGTGACATCCCCTGGAGCCCTAGGGCCTCCAAATTCTACCATAGCCCCTGCCCATGTCCACAAACTCCAAGCCTCCCCCAGTAATCGCCTGGGATGGATAGAGCAGATCCACAGGCTAGATCTGGCCCCTGGGCCATACATTTGGCACCCTTCAAAAAAAGCATTTGATACAGTGCTTCGTGGAAAATTGTTTTACACTTGTGCTGTAAGATGGGAACTCATCTGAAGGCATTAGAGGAGTAGGAGGAACCTGGGAATACTAATCAATCACAGGATTTCTGTGAGCCAGTGTCACACAGCTGCAAAAAGAATAATACAATTCAAAAGTGTATTTGGTGTGGTATTTTCATAGAGACACAAAAATCTTAGTACAATATACAAGGCCTTCATTTGGAATATGGTGTGCAAAGCTCCATTTGGAATATGGTGTGCAGTTCCGGTCACTCAGGTTAAAAAAAAAATAATTCAAATAGACAAAGGTTTACTGGGATTGTTAGGGTAATGGAGAATCTGTCTTATGAAAGGAGATTAAAAGAACTTGGCTTGTTTAGATCAGGGGATCTGATTATAAATACACTCATTATTCATCCCAGAATGAATATCAGGGAAGGAGAAGAGCTATTAAAGTTGAAGGACAATACTGGCACGAGATCAAATGTATACAAACAAATTAAGACTGGAAATTTGAAGATGATTTCTAACAATCAAACGAGTGAAGTTCTGAAATGGTTATCAAACAAAGCAGAGTGGGCAAGGAATCTGATAAGCTTATGGAAAGGATAGTATGATAGGAAAGGTGTTCTTGGAACAATTAATTAGTACATATGATATGTGAATTCAAGTACTGGGAATCTCTAAAAAGGGCGGGGGGTGTTAAAAGGAAACTCAGTCTCTCTGTTGAAAGTACTGGGTAGTCTTATACTTCATGACTTTTGCTAGTTGCCTGTAAGGGACCAGAAAGAATCTTGCCTCCTACATATGAATACAGTATTTAGCTTCTGGGGTTTTTTCACCTTTCTCTGAAGCACTGAATACTGGCCACATCTAGAGATGGGAGTTTGACTGGTGTCTGCTAGAGTTCCTACCATTACTGAGAAATCTCCTAAGTGCTTGACTCAGGATCAAATTGATTACCAGATTTGGGTTTAGGAAAGAATTTTTGTATCAGGTGAGACTGACAAAGACAGCATGCTTTCTTTGTAAAATAAGGTGTTGTCTTCCTCCTAGAATCCTTGAGCATATATTAACCTAACTAATCCCCTGCTACCTGAGTGACAAGGCATGGGCATTGGCCATATCTCCCATTTGGCATGAAAGTGTCCCCCACCCCCAGAGTGCTCTAGGGGTGTGCTGTGTGAGAGACACAGGAATAGACAAACTTGTGGTCCCTCTGCTGCAGATGTAGGGGACTAGTCTTGATGGCCCAGAAGGCTGCTTCCAGACTAGTGTATTCCTGATAGGTTCATAGATGTAGGGTCAAAAGGGACCTGAGCAGATCATTAAGTCCGACCCTCTGCCCTGGGCAGGAATGAATACTGGGCTCATATGACCCCTGGTAAGCTTAAGCTCATATGACCCCAGCTATGTAATCATCAAGCCTCCTTTTAAAGACTCCTAAGGTAAGAGCCAGCATCACTTCCCTTGGAAGTTGGTTCCAGATCCTGGCTGCCCTGACTGTGAAGTAGTGCCTCCTGATGTCTAGCCTGAACCTACTCTCAAATCAACTTGTGGCCATTATTCCTTTTTATTCCAGGAGGTGCTCGGGGGAACAGGGTCTCACCCATTCCCCTCTGGTCCCCCCTGGTAAGTTTATAGATGGCTACTAGGTCCACTCTCAGCCTTCTCTTGTGAAGGCTGAACAGGTTCAGGTCCCGTAGCCTCTCTTCGTAGGGTCTGCCCTGCTGCCTTCTGATCATGCGAGTGGCCTTCCTCTGGACCCTCTCACTGCTGGCCACATCCCTCCTGAAGTGCGGCGCCCAGAACTGGATGCAGTACTCCAACTGTGGCCTGACCAGTGTCGCAAAGAGGGGGAGAATCACCTCCTTGGACCTGCTCATGATGCGTCTGTGGATACATGACAAGGTGCAGTTAGCCTTACTGACCGCATCCTAACACTGGCAGCCCATGTTCATTTTAGAATCGATAATGACTCCAAGATCTCTTTCAGCCACTGTGTTTTCAAGAAGGGAGTTCCCCAGCCTATAGGTATGCTTCTGGTTCTTTCTGACCAAGTGCAGTACCCTGCACTTGTCAGTATTGAATCCCATCCTATTCACATTCGCCCAACCCTGTAACCTGTTCAGGTCCAGTTGCATCCTGTCCCTCCCTTCTAGTGTGCCCACCTCGCCCCAAATCTTGGTGTCGTCAGTGAATCTGAACAGGGTGCTAGTCACCCCCTCGTCCTAGTCGCTAATAAAGAAATTGAACAGTACGGGCCTAAGGACACACGTGCTTGCATGAAGCTTTTAAACCCACTTCAATAATAGCTAAGACTTTATTCTGGAGTACTTGTGCTGCCCTCAGTTTGCATAATATTGCTCACAAAGGCCCCAAGCTTGTGCTGAAATCTGCCCAAGCAGACCCCTGCACACCTGTGGGGACCCCTGGCTCAGCTTAGCCTTGTGTTGCATCTTCCCTGTTATTAACCCAGTTGATTGATGAGCCTGGTGACTTGCTCAGAGCCTGAGGACTGGGCTCCTCAATTTCTTCTTTTATTCCCCTGTAGTAATTACACTTCTGAAAAGATACTTGGAACAAGCCTTATTTATTTCATTTAGGGGAAGATTTGGCTTTGCTCACAACCATAAATTGCTACTGAGATTTCAAAATAAGACCACAGCAGCAGCTATTGATTTAAATGGAGGAGACTCTCTCCAAGTATTATTTGTAACAGGGTTATTTGGTTTGGTTGAAGAGAATTATTTTTTAAGTATTTTTTTTAGGTTTGCAGAGATAAGGTGAAATCTTGGCTCCAATGACATCCATGGCAAAACTCCCAATGATTTCAACAAGACCAGGATTTCACTTACAGGATTCGAGTCCCCTCTGCCTTGCATTTTTTGTAGTTTGCTACATCTATACAAAGTGGCTGTAAAATAAAGCAGATAGGTCTCATTTACACTGGTTTGAGTGACCTCATGGGTTCAATGCAGTAGAGGAGAGGCTTTCAGAAGTGTAATTTTCCAAGATGGTGACTGAGCAGCAACAAGATTTACCTTTAAGTAGCTATGACCACAAAATTCCTAATCAATCCCGAACACAAGTTATACATATGCAATTGCTCTAATGTGCCGTCACATGTATCAAGCCCCTGAGCTTTTAAATTAGCTGGGGGGGGGGGGGCACTTTATGTAAAGCTTGTTGAATGAGGTTTAGATAAAGCATCCTGCAACCATTTTTAAATGCACAAGGACTTAATACACTTGACAGTGAGCAGTTTTAATGAGAACGGTTGTCCAGGAACTACTGTAATTAAAATGCTCCTTCCACCCCTGAGCATGTGTATAGGCAGCCTGGATAGCTACCAGGTCACAGTGTAAATAGCACATATATTTGCAAATTGAAAACATAATGGTTTGTGTTCCCTAATTATACAGATAAGCCCCATTTACTCTATGTCAGTACTTCAGGAAAATGCCTAAATTACTCTTCAGTAATTCCAAAAGAAGACAGTCTAAAATAATGCTTAACTTCACAAATGCAAAACAATTCCTTCTCATCTTGTTAAGTCAGTCGGGTGCTGGGCAGGGCTGCAAGTCATCTGTTAGGTGAGACACCACACAAATCAAAAAGCCTTAAATACTACATAATGTTTAAATTTAAATTCCAGTGATCTGCACAGTGATCAGTCTTCTGGAACTACGGCTGTTTGTACTACATAGATAGTATAGTCAGACAAATTCAGTACAGGGCTAGGCTTCAAGAAACTAGAGCTTTATCTTGTTACACCCTAGGAAATTATGCAATTATGTGCCTATGCAATTTTGCACATAAAAGGCATGACCGTGCATAATTGCATAGTTTTGCATAATTTAACCACAGCAGTCTTTATGCCTCTGTCTCCATGATGTGGAAGCACAGAGCCATGTGACTGGACAGATGGGTAAGTGGGAAGGAGTGTTCCTGCCTGCAGGTGAGGGTTGTGGGCATGGGGTTTGTAGGTGGACATAGAAGTGTGTGTGGGTGGGTATGGGCCATGCACCATCGGGCTGGGCGAGTCACCTCCATGTGGGGCTTCCAGCACTCCAACGGGAAGCTGCATATGGAGGCACGGAGCCCTGCTGGCCAGATGGAGTGCTGGAAGCCCCATATGGAGGGCCAGCCTGGCCTGAAGGCACATGGACTGGGATCCACCCACCATCAGGCTGGGCAGGAAGCTGCACACGGAGCCACAGGGTTACGTGCCATTGGGCTGGGTGGGCTCCTGCTTGCCTCCACATGCGGCTTTCTGCTGGAGTGCTGGAAACCCCACCTGAAAGCACAGAGCCCATCTGGCCTGATGGCACGCAGTTCCTGGTCCACCCACCATTGGGCTGGGCCGGCCAGCTCCATGCCTTCACATAGGGTTTCCAGCACTCCAGCAGGAAGCTGCACATGAAGGCACAGAGCCCACCCAGCCTAATGGTGCATGACTCATGGCTGCAGTGCTGCAAGCCCTGTGTGCTGGCATGGAGTTAGCCTGGTTCAGTTTGAAGGCATGCCAGTGGACCAGGTTGACTCTGTGCCAGCATGTGTGGGCCCTGGGACTTAGCAAGAGGCACACACCACTGGAGGCTCTGCTGCCTGCTGCTGCTGCTGAGCCAGCAGTGGCAGAGGCTGTATACCATAGGGGGGTGAATGTGTGACAGGGAGGTCCATACCCACCTACAACCCCCCCACACCACTTCACAACCCCCCCAAACCTCACAGCCCCCCCACACACAGCCACACCCCTTCACAACTCCTGCACAACCGCCCACAAACCCCACATGCTCCCAAAGCCACACCCCACATGCTTGTCCACAAACCCTACACCCCCCACACCTTCATAAACCACCCCCCATAAACCCCACATCCCCCACACCTCCCCACTCCTTCACAGATCCCCCCACACACCCCACCCCCAACCATACAAAGTACCTGTATATATTTCTAAAGAATGTTCAAATAGTGTTATACTTAGTTTAATTTGTAAAAAAAAAAAAAAAAGTAATTAATTTAGCATAATTTTAAATGTTTCTGCACATAATTCCCTGGGGTGTATCTTGTAGCCCTTGTTCATGTGAGTAGTCCCACAAAAAACAAGCTGACAGTGGTATACATGAACTTCTGCAAAAGTGGTGCTCCTTATTTGGTTAAGTAATGTAACCATTAGAAACAAACTAGATAATCAGACACATAGTCCAGTGTTTGACTTCACATTTTAATGGGGAGTTTTTGCCGTTTTCCCAGCCTTATTAAAATCTTAACAGAATGGCATTTAAAATACCTAGCACTGCACTTGAAATATTAACTGGGATAATTGCAATCATTTCATAATTATTTTTATAAACTGCTTTCATTGTATGTATATGATTACAAAGTATTACATTAAGCTGGAAAAATGATAGCATGCATTTGTGTAACATATTTCACTGGAAGTTTTCAAAAGTCATTTTTAAAGGTAGGCAAGGTATATTAGCTACATTTAACAAAAAACAGAAGCTGAAGCATTCTGAACTTTGGTGCCACAATCTAATTATTATTACAAGGCACTGGAAGACTTGGAAATAGACTCTGGTGGCTCAATCATACATTTCTTATTCACATGAACTGAAATCATTGCATCTAAGACACTTACTCTACCATTTGGGAAAGCACAGTAATACTTGTTCATAACAAGCTGAATATATATGTTACAGTAATCTCTATGAAAAGCACAGAATGCTGATAATCCCTCTGCTTTTTCCTGTAGGACCACAGCAGTGATACACCCTGTTTTCCTGCCAACATACTCTTAGTCATCAGATGTTTGGTACTCAAGCAAAACTCTTTCAATCCTGTATCACATTCTGAAACCTGAGATCATCTAGATGAGTGGCACACAGGATATCATGTTTTATTCATCAAAAAGGATGTTAAAGTCATCATACCTTAAATTAGAAACAGTGCAGCTTATTGATACCAAAAACATGCAAATATGCAATAATTTTAGCATGAAGTATAAATTATTTTACAGATGTAAAATAGACTGGTATCTGCTATCTAATAAAACACCTGTTGTGTTCCCTTTTTTTAGCTCTGCTACTTTCAATTCATTTGAGTTTCCTAGTATGAATAGTATTTTGGGTAGCATATGACCTCATTCAAACTGAAATGGTGTTTCAAAGATTGTCAGTCACTGTTTAAAAATATACTTAAAAATATTCTAACACATGGATGATATTCCAACAAGATATGGGAACACATCCTGCTTTCCCAACAGATGAAGGGCATCTATAACCTCACTGCTTCATCTGAACAGAAATATAGAATAAAGCACTGAAAGGGGCATCAGGAGGTCATTTAGTTCAACTTCTCCCAAGGGCAAGGCAGTGTGCGGGCCAGGAGCGACCCGAGCCCTTTTCCGCGCTGCATGCGGGCTGTGGCCAGCAGCCCGGGCACGCCGGGGCGGAGAGGGAAGGCCTTCGAGCTGGAATTAGGCACAGACGCGTAGCGGTAGTTTAAAAGATTGTTTACTTACACCGAGATGGCAGTGGTGTAGGCTGGAAAACTTGCTTAAGTTGCGGTTACAGAGAGAAAAGAAAACAAAACTCAAACCTGCAGGGCACGAGGGTACGTCGCATAGGGTTCCGGCGACGGGAAGATGAAAATACGAGGGTACATCGCAAAGGGTTTCGGCGACGGGAAAGTAAACCTGCAGGACTTGAACCTGGGTAGAAGAGCTCTGGAGTCATCCGGCAAGGACTCGCACGAAGTTTGCTAGGCTCCGTGGGTCCGGTTTGTTGCGCGCGGGAGGGGATACGTCTAGGAATCTATCGGCGACGGGGAGAGGCTAGAGGTTGATCAGACCTCTGTTGCCTGCTTGAAATGCGCTGGGTCTGTAAGGATCTGCAGCGCTTAGAGATCTTCACACAGCGTGAAGTCTCCTCCTCCCTTGTTCGTGGAGTCCTCCAACTTGGGCGGAAACCACTCAAGCCTCTTATACGGCTAACAAGACAATCGCTAAAATTCTCCCTTGCACCGGGGTTCTCTTTTGCAGCAGAAAACTCCACCGTGCAAGGAAGCTGCAATTTAGCGGGGACAATTTAGCAGTGCCAAAGCACACAAAAACAAAAATCACACCCTTTGGGTTGTGACAGGCAGGATCATCCCTGTCTGAACAGTGCATCTCATTCAAGTGTTTGTCTAACCTTGCCCTTAAAAATGTCCAGGAACAGAGATTCCAAAACCTCTCAAGGTATCTGTCCCAGTGCTTAACCACACTCAAAGTTAACAAATTCTTCTTAACGTCAAACCTAAATTTTCCTTGTTGTCATATAAGGAATGCATATTGGCCTGTTCTCTGCAGCCACAAAGAACAGTCTATAACAGTGGTCACCAACCGATAGATCCCAATCCACCAGTAGATCTCAGAGCCTCTTGGAGTCAATCTGGGGCTGGGGTGGGAGGCTGAGTGCCTGCGTGCATGCACATGCACACCCCAGTCCAGCAGTTCAGTCCATGGGGGAGGGAGGGGTGGGGGCTAGGTCGAGGCTCCCACGGTGAAGGACAGTGCTGCAGAGACAGAAGCAGGGGTAAGTTGAGTAGAGTCCTGCCTGGGTGGGGCTTACCTGCTGGGGAGGCATGCCCCCCACCCAATTTTTTCTCGATCTGCCCCCGCCCCCCTTCCCTCCCCACAGACTTACCTGCTGGGCAATGTAGGGGGGGAGGGGTGGTGGTGGCACACAGTAGATCTTGAGTTGCTTTTAGATGCCAAAGGTGAACTCGTACTTAAAAAGGTTGCAGACCACTGGCCTATAACTATGCTCTTTATAACCCTTCTAAGGGTATTAGAAGACTTATCAAATCTTGCTTCAGTCTGCTCTTCTGCAGAGTTCTCTCAGTTCATCCAACCCTCTCTCATAATAAATCATGGTTTCTAGACCTCTAACCCTTTTTTGTTGCTCTCCACTGAATGCTTTTCTATTTGTTTATGTCTTTCTTGAAGTGCAGTGATCAAAACTGGTCATAATACTCTCAGTGAGGTCTCACCAGTGTTGAATAGAGTGGAATAATCACTTTCTTTGACTTGCAAGAGACATTCCTGTTAATACAATCCAGTCTACTATTGCAGAACAAGCCAGTAAGAGAACACTGTTGACTTTCTTTCAGCTTGTGGCCCACTATAACCCCAGGTCCTCTTCTGCAATACTGCAACCAAGCTAGTCATTCCCCAGTTTGTACTTGTGCATTTGATTGTTCCATAAACAAACATAGTCCTAAGTGTGGGACTTTGTACTGGTCCTTACTGGTTTTCAGCCAACTAATTTCAGACCATCTTCCAGTTTATCAAAGTAATTCTGAATCCTAATCCTAACCCCCAAAGTTTCTGCAACTCTGCCCAGCTTGTCATCATCCTTGACTTTACTAAATGTGCACTCACTCATCCTCCAAATCAGGGCTGTCTAACTGGTCCCAGGTTGCATCTGACCTGCAAGAGGTTAATATGCAGCCCTAGGTTTCTGCCCAACTGGAGCTCCATCAATCACTCCTGATGCTGCAGTGAATGTGGGCTCCAGTCTCCTCGTCCCATCTCCAGCTTTTTCTTCCTGCTGTTGCCCCCAGGGATGACTGTGTGCAACAGTGGGAGACCCAGACTGCCCACAAATAAGGAAGGGACCAGGTTGTCTGTGTTGCTTCAATAGCCAGGAGGGAGGCTGTGCTGCCCACGCAGCAGGGGGCAGGGTGAGAAGGCATATGTGCCAGGGGTCTGTGGCCCACATGGCATAGGGCCCCCCTACCATCTAGAAGTTAGATGGTAGTAAATCAGTTTGTCCTGATTTACAACTTGGCCAAATTTGGACAGCTTTTCATGGGAATGGAAAAAGCATATTACAGACATAAGGCTACACATTTATCTAATTGAAAGTCCTATCTCCAGAGGATGGGGGACTAGAGCTGTTAAAAAAAAAGTCACCTGCATTTTTTAACATGGGCAAAGCAACCTTGTCCCCATTGAATGATTTTTGGCTGAAATTTTTAAAAAATCAGCCTGATTTTAGACCATCCAACATGGAAAATTTCACCCCAAATGTGTGAGGAATATTGACTATCACTGACTGTGGCAAAAGCAAAAGACATTCACGTTGACTTGATTCACAGAAATAGCATGCAAGCAAACATCATGATTAAGTCAAACTGTAGAAGGAGTAGCTGAATTCAATTATATGCGATCATACATACCTAACCAAGGAGATTGTTCCACAGCAACCGAAGGATTATTAGGTAGGGATCATTTAACTATTGGAAGAAAATTAAAGCTTTTGAAATTTGATGCTGATGAGGACTCTTCTTTATGTCCTGCATGGAAAGAGATGAATGCTTAGGTTAGCAATATTGGAGAAAAGCAGATCCCACTGCCAGAAATCTACTGGCACAAACTTATGTGACTTAGATCACATCAGGTATAAAGAGGAAAATAACCTTGACAAAATAATTATGGAACTAACAGTGGCAAGTCATTGATGTAGGGTATGACATATGGTAAGGTGGATAGATGGTATAGTAGATCACTGAAAGGTCAGTCACTGAATGCTTAGAGCTAGCAAAGGATTGAGAACACTTCTGAAAATTTTGCTGTGGTTTCATTAACATTCATAGATTTCATAGATTTCATAGACATTTGGGCTGGAAGGAACCCCAGAGGATCACTGAGTCCAGCTCCCTGCCCCAGGGGCAGGAAGTCAGCAGGGATCATATGATCCCAGCAAGATAAGCATCCAAATGTGTCTTGAGATAAGTGTAAGTATATTTACCAACTTGCTCTCTTACTGATATTCAACTAAATAAACCTAGGGAAATAATTTCTGATTACAGGTCACCTCCATGTATAACTGAGGCAGCTTCACTGATTTGATTGGACTTACTCCACAAGAGGCATTACGAGCTATTACAGATTCAAGTTACAACAAAATTTCAATGATAACCTGAAGTAATGTACATCCATAAACACATAATATATTTAAAAGAAAATGTTTTAAAGCTTCCTTGTTGTCAGGAATAAACAAACCCATAATGTTGAAAGCCCCAATAAAAGCTGGTTCCCTGCCTACTATAGAAATCTCATTTCTGTTACCACTCATGGAGCTGCCTGTGTTGTTGCTTAAGCAGGAAGTGTAGTGGTAAAATGTCTAGTTTAGAAAAGAGTAAGACATCTATTTGCAATAAATGTAGCTGAGGCCAACTCCCCCTTTATACATACGTGCATACGCACACACATAACAAGAAGGGGACTATTAACTCACCAGAAGCAGAACAAGGATTTTAGTTTAACAGTGCAACATTAACCTACCTTCTACCAGTCTAACAGTGCATCAGATTAGAGACTCTGACACCTGGATATCATTATAAGACTGCTGTTTTACAGATATGCAGATATTCATCCTATTTAAAAAATATATTAAGAAATAGAAAAAAAGAACATAATTAAGGTTATGAAGACACATACTTAAAAGTTGTAACTACTACAACTTAGGGTTGCTTGTGCATCCTTGACTGTGCCTCCTTGTGAATGCACATGTGGGACACGATCTTCTGTTTCTAGCTCACACACTTTATACTTCAGAAATCCTAACTCAATCAATGTACAACATGGACTGTGCTCTTGGAATGAATCAAGGCTGTGCTGTGAAATAATCTGTTCAATTTATAAAGAAGAACAGATCAATCTTAGTCTAAAGAAGCAATATCTTTAAACAGACACATTAGAACAAATGAGTTTCCACTTTAAATTGAGCCCTATCAGGTTAAATACACAGAGACACAATTAGGGTGAGGACAAGGACAAGATGTAGTCTGTAGATAATGACATGGGGACCCTGTGCCAACTACTCTGTGCTAGCAATTGTAGATGAGGTAGCACATTAGCACATGCGAATACTATCAACCTCTCTATGTTTGGAGTAACTGATGAAGACATCCAAGTTACTGATGTCTTCATCAGTGACTTGGACGAGGGAGTGAAATGTACTCTGTCCAAGTTTGCAGATGACACAAAGCTATGGGGAGAAGTGGACACGCCGG